CTCTGCATAGTTGGGATTTTGTACACAAATCTAGCTCCTCTGGCTCAGCTGGCAGAGCATTGGTCTCATAATCCAAAGGTCGTGAGTTCGAGCCTCACGGGGAGCATTTCCTTTTTGCCTTTCCTTAATCCTTTTTTACCAACCCATTCCATTTGTGAGCTGTCGGCCAGCTTGCGTTGCTTGCGCCAAAGTCCATACCAGCGTTTCGTTTTTTGTATATCAAATACAAATTGCTCAGGCGATGGTATGCTTTTGATTTGCTTGCAATTGATCTCAGACATATTCTACTCCTTGCCTATCCTTTGTTTTGCCTTGGTTACTATGCAAATCCAAACTCGCACGGCGCTGTCTCTTGCTCGTAGCGCACACAAATTACGCAAAAGGCTTTTTGCTGGCACATGCTTTTGCTCGATAACACATGCTGCTGATGACTCGTAAACTTTAAATGCACACCCGAACAACTCGTTGTTTTTTTTATTACAATTGCTGTTGTAATCCATTGGGTCTTGTTTGATAAATGTATTTGTGAAAATGAAGTTGTGCCAAGTCGCCGGTAGTTAATGCAAATGTTGGTGGGCACTTTACAGAATTGGAACAGCGTCAACCTAGTTAATGTAATGCATATACGACCAGTCATAATGCCCATGCGTATTTTCGTGGTGAATCTTCATGGCCTCCTCCTCGGTCGTATAGTCGCAGTCGTTGCACTGGAACACCGATCGAAGCCTTAGCCGGCACAAAATGTGTTTAATAAACATGGCCGGCTTTGTCAATGTGTGTGCTGAATGTCAATGCACTACTGACGCTCGAAAACAAAAATGAAGCAATCAAAAGGCAGTACAGCGTAAAGCGCAAGTGTAATAAATTTAACTCAAAAGCTAGGGATGGCTTGCACTTTTCTGCCAGAAATCGCACACGCAACAAACCAGCTATTTATACCGTCCCGCAAACCAGCAAAAAAAGAAGGAGAGCAAAGGCAACAAGACACTCTCGGCACACGCTGCATTGCGAGCCAAGGGGCAGATGGAGACAATTGAGGCTAGCTGGCGAGAGAACAGGGGGGCAATGTACACCCGGGCTGTGCATCCCCCCACCCACTCCTAGGACACAAGGCACCCAAATCAGCCCACGCGCAAATACAGGCCGTTTTGCGCAAAGCCAGCAAACAAAGTGCCCCCAGTACAGCGCACAGTTGCTGCCTGCCAGAAACAAAGCGAGCACAGGCAATAATGTTGCAAGCCCTCCACATGGGCTGCATGCACCCGCTTCGTGCCACGCCGACCTGATTGTTCCGCAGCTAGCTGGCCGCGACAAGATGGCTGGGCTTGCCAAGAGCGTTCTGT